AGAAGGAACAGTGATACTGCATCACACAGCTTGCCTCAGGCAGAGTGACTGCAGGCAAGAGCTGCGGAGTTCCATCTAGCAATGACTTACATAGTTTCTTTGCATGGTGATTAGGATTTGGCTGAGCTGACAGTTAGAGTCTTATGTTATCTGTTCTCCCATTATAAACAGAGAAATTCTAGTCTTTCCATTTCCTGCATTTTGCCAGTTGTATTCATGCTATTAACACTACCTAGCAGCAAATATGACATTTTATTCAACATCTCAGGTGGCTCTTGTGTTATTATTACTATAGTAAAACAAGAAAAAATTCACTTCAAAATTAAATATACATTATTAAAATAAAACATATATAAATATATATACTTTTTTCTTTAGCCATAATCACTAAAATCGACATCTTAATATTAATTTTCTATTCTTCATGTTAACTTTCTATTCTGCTTTTGAGTAGAAAGTCCAGGAATCTTTCCAGGATCTGCACTTAGCAGTTAATTGCATGCTTTGCCTGTGGAACAAACTATGAGAACACTGAGAGGTCAAATCTCTTCCTCCCTCCACCCGCCCTCCTTGTTTTCTACACTCCCTGCAGCCGCTCCCTGGCCAGTCTGTAGCTGAAATTTCAGGGGAGTCACAATGTGACTTTCCACCTCAGCATTACAGCCTCCCCAACATGCAGGCACTTTTAGAATTCAAAGCAATTATATGAATAAATAGATAATGATATGTACACACATGCACATATAGATACATAAAATTACAAAATTTTCTGATTAAAATACACAAAGGAATGGTGATTGCTCAGTTTATAAATAAAAGACACTTTGCAGATAAATTCCAAGCCAGAAAGATTTTCAGTATAGTGATGGCTGACTGGTAACCAATCTTTTAAATTATTTTTGAGAGTAATTTTAGCAGTTCTGTTCAAATGATGCTTTTTTAAAGACTGCTATTTTTCTGACTGGAACATATGTCAGCAGAGCAGGATAAAAGCCTAATAAAAACATATCTGATTATAAATGCGATTTTCCAGTAAGTTACTTTTCACTAGCCAAGGTACCTGCCATTGTCCTTGAAAACCTAGGTTCCCAAGAATCTACGCGAGAAGTTAACAATATTGCTCCTCAAGACAAAGGAGGCTAGATCCAGGGGACATTTTATAATTTTTGTGGATTTTTCAAACATACATTTTTTTTCAAACATACATTTTAACCATCCCATGTTCCTAAAAATGCTTCTATTTCTAAAGTTTTATGTATGCTTATGCTCTCAACCGAATAATCTATACACGTACATACATAGATGCTAAAATTAGCAGTTATGTGGGCAAACCTATTCCCAAAACACAGTAAATTTCCCATTGTTTTATAATGATTGTCAGGAAGGAAACAGTAAAAAAAAAAAAAAAAAAAAAAAAAAAAAAAATGCCATCCGCAGCAATGTACCACTGGCCCAGCCTGGGCTTTATGCAGCTACTCTTTGGAGTTTGTTAATGGTAAAGATCTTCTGTCTGGAATCTGCCTTGTTTGGTGCTGCCTCTGTAGGGCAGCCTCCAAGGTCATCACATCTCATGAGGACTAGCAGCATGCACTCACAAGGCAAAAGGCTGTCTGGCCCCAAAGGCTTATGCTACACGTAGTTTACCAACATTATCTCAGAAGCCAAGAGTTGAAGGCTGGGGAATTGGTACCTGTGTAGATCTGCCCATAATTGTCTTGGAGTCTAGGATTCATGATTTTACCTTAAATGTTCTTAGCTTTAAAGTGAAATAATTATAGCATATTTCTCTCATAAATTCCATGCAGCTCTCACAGCCTAATAAAAACTCAAACACAAAAGTCATTTTATGACCCCGCAATTTTATATATACATATATATATACCTATATATTTATGCATATGTATGCATACAGAGATACATACATATGCACACATCCACAGAGAGAGAGGAAGACCTCACAAATTCACAGGGACACCTTTGTGCAAGGTTGTTCATTGTAGCATTATATATAATAACAAAAACATTGTAAAAAAAATCTAAATTGTCACCAGCAAGAAATGAAATAAGCACTACTATTGAAATATATGCAACACTATACATTAGTGGGAAGTAATGTCCAGAATTATAGCTAGAAACATGGATGAATCTCACAAATATCCAGTGAAAAACGCAAGTTGTCAAAGCATATGTAACCAATGATATTATTACATAAAATTTTAAGACATGCAGAGCAATTCTATGTACAATTTCCATAGTATAAAATTATAAGGATATATGTGATGATTTATACAAAACATAGGAGACAGTCATCCTACAGTGTGCGGCAACAGTGAAGCCCCTCAAACAATCAGAATGTAGGTGAAAACAGTGGCTAATTTTTTTTTTTTTTCTGTACCAGGGATTGAACTCATGACCTTGTGCGTGCCAGGCAAGGCACTTGTGCCACTGAGCTAAACCCCTGGCCCTCTGAAACTACTTTTTTCTTTTCTTTAATTTTTAAATTTTTAATTGATTATTTTTTAAAAAATGAATAATCTTTTGAGGTAATCATTTTCACTTATTCATCAATTTAGCAAATATTTGTTGAGCTTCTGCTTATCAGGCACTATTGCAGGCACTGGGGATTTAGGATGAATAAAACTGGGCCAGTCTCTGTCCTCACAGAGCTTACATTCTGAGGATTTCTTAGAATAACTGTAAGAGAGCAAGGATAATAACTGACAGGCTCTTCCAGAAAGCCTTTCATGATCCTCCATGAGCCTCTGAGTTAAGCAGCACACTCTGTGCTCCCAGGACAACCTGGCCTACCTTAACTGCTTGGAGTAATTGTTGTTTTAACAAGTTGCCTTTCTGTACCAGCCCTGCCACTCTCCAGCTGTGAGGCTCTGGACCAGGTACACAGCAACTATCCTTCCGGAGCACCTAATTTCCCAGGCACTCTGCAAAGTGTCCTATGTTAACTATTTTGTTTAGCCTTTCTACCAATCTATTAAGGTTATATTATTTTTTGAATAAGGAAGTTGAAGCCCAACAAAACTAAATAACCTTCTCAGTGTTAGTTATGTGAATGGTAACCCAGGAAGTCAGCCAAAACACAAGGATCTGATAGACGTTAGATTCATCAAGACCGGAACTAGGATGAAGCAAGTGAGAGCATTTGTGCAAGTTTAGGGTCAGATCTCGTCTGTATTCAGAATTTTGTTATTTTGTTCATCATGATGGTGTTTTTTTGAAGTGTTTTTCTAATATTACTTATCTTAGCGTGCCCTTGCCCATGGTGAGAGCCTTCCTAAACTCATCTGGCCCCAGTACCATTAGTAGTATCACTAGTATCACTCTGGAAAAGGGATTGCGTGTTTTTTTATTGGTTGCCTCTCTCTCACCTCAAAGACATTCAAAGGTAGCACCCACGTCTTGTGCCTGTGAAACTCACAGTGATCTTGGCACAAGAGTACATACATGTTCAATAAATATTGGTCAAACTCAACTTTCTGCTCCACCATAACTCAAAAAAAGACTAATTTCTACTCAGTGAAAGGAGAACTTCAGTCTCCTGAGACACCCATTAATCTACTGTGTATTATTGTTGGCAGTAATACTATTAATATTATTTTTGTACTAACCCGAGTGCTCAGTGGCAAATGCTTAACACATGTGTCTCAAATTCTTACTACAAAGCTGCACACTGAGGCTCACCAGCATAGAGTCATTTGCCCCGAAGCTGACAGCTAATAAGTGATAGTCAGCGTTAAACTCAGATTAAGGTGAGCTAAAGCCTGGGCTCTTTTCTACTCCACGGTCTTTCCTAAGATCCCACTCTGATTTCTACCATATGTATGTCACAGTGGTGTTTTCCAAACTTTATTCCTTTAAGCATGAGCACTATATAGAAATCTTGATTAAAATAAGGTTAAACAAACTTTTCTACTTCCCTATTTCTGAGAGCTTTCAAAAGGGTGTCTCTGAGAACAGTGGATTGCAGGCAGCCTTTCTCAAACCTGTGTGGCTGGAGAATCCCTTTCCACGGAGCAGCGCTTCAACCTGGTATTGTGTGGGATGCACGTTGGAAAATAATCGGTTAGGCTTCTTTCAGGCCTCTCCTACTATGCAGTGCCAAGAGAGTGAAAACTGGGGAAATGATTGTCAAATAATGATGTCCTCTTTCTTCTGTCATCACCATAAAAATAAAAAGTCACTACTAGCTTAAATTTATCTTTGAAAACAGTTTCACAGCTACTTTAAGATGTTCCTTCTAGGTCTTCCATCTCCAATGTATATCCACAGGAATATTCACATATCACTTAAAATATTTAGACAGTGTGACAAATGCTTTGCATATGTCATCACATTTAATCCTCACAGTGACTCTTTGAGTTAGCAAATACACTCCCGGTACGAGACACTAGGTCAGCAAGGCTGAGAGAGGTTAAATAACATCTCAAAATTCCACAGCAAGTAGGTGCCTGGGCCACCGTTTAAACAGTTACTTCTGACTCCATAGCCTATGTGTTTAAGCTCTGAAGTGGTGAAATACTTATTTTAGAGCCTGGAGAATGAAATTTTATCTTGAATTTACTACCAGGGAGTTTATATCTTATCTTGGATCATTATTAATTCCATGCTGAATGATGAAAGAACATCCTGAAACTGTTCCTGCCTTTTCTTTGTCCTTACCGCCCTCCTCTGCCTTTCGGTGAGTGTCACAGGGCTTCGCAGAACATAACCCCAAATGCAGGACCACATTGCTTTCTGTTTTATAGCTCTATAATCTCGCCTGCTGTAAATACATTCACAAACGACTCTGGCTTTTTCTCGAAGCTTTGACATTTCAAAAGGTGATTTATTTTGATTGTACTTTCACCTCATGATTTCAAATATTAGGTTACTTGGTTCAGGTGGTCTTATATTTTCCTCCATAAATGTGTTTATATCACCCTATAGACTGAGAAATTTCATTTCCAGGTTTTTTTCTTTTCTTTCTTCATTTGATTTTTCTACAGGAGGAGAACTGAATTCTTTGAACTTGTCAGTAAAGGAGAATATGATTGGAATATCAAAAACCATCGTGATGTATTTCGGTAAGAAAAAGCTCTTGTGATTTTTCTTTTTTTCGTTATTTGAACATTCAGCTATGTTTTTCTCATAGTACTAAGAACATAGCAGTGATTTCTAAAGTAACAAGTCTCAGCCTACACCTACAACAGCCCAAGATTTGTTGAATAACTAGAGACAAAGATTAAAAACATGTATCTTTTGTCTTATGATTTATTATATTTTTACTTTCTCTCTGTAAATCTCCCTTCCAAATAAGAAAATGATGTCAAAATTAACTCATTTTCAAGCAGCTATGAGTTCTTCATTTTCCTTGGGGCAAAGAAGGGAACAAATTGAGAGGAAAGGGGCTTTTTAACTCTAGACTCCATTGTTACCTAAGCACAAGGAAAAGTGGGGCATTAATTTTACTTTTCTTTAGAGACTCTGTGGATGGCAAAGCCAATTGGAACTATTTTGGTGATGGAAGTAATAAGCCTTGGGACTTGTTTGGGAAGGTCAGCAGCAAAGCGTAGTTGTTGTATAGCACAGTCTGCAGCTCTCCAGAATCTGGGGTACCATTCTGCTTCATCTCGCACCCACCTTTCCACCTCACAGCCCACCTCACCGGCCCAGAGCTGACTTGTTTTGCTCTCTCACGCTGAGTTACTGGAAAAGCTTATGAGATGGGGGTTAGGGCGCACTGTGTGTGGCAGCCACTGGACTCTCTCCAAGCCAGAGCCCTTTCATAGCACCTGTATCTGCTGTGTAAAGCATCTGCACCAACCTGAAACACAGGGCTTTGCTATCCCTTCCCTCTGCTCTCAACTCACTCGTAGTCTCCAGAGGCCCTCCCACCCAAGGGCCCTCTACTCCCCTCTCTACTTGAATATTTATTCACGTTATCTTTACAGACCTTTTTCTTCATCACCAGGGGTAGGGGAAGAAAGAGAGAAACTGTCCTCTCTCCAGGACTAGGCCTTCACCATGTCCCAATTCCGTGGCCTCTATCCACCTCCCCAGGCTCCACCTTGACCCCAGTGTATCAATTATTGACTTCAGCTTCCATTTTTCAAATTTCAGCTTTGTCTCTCATGATCTTTGGAGGCTTAAAAACATGCATCTACCTCCTCCATCAAAATGTGATCCCCAAAAGCTTCCCTTCGCAAGGTGCCATCTTGGTTTTCTCCTTCCTTTACTCCCTCACTTTACTTGGCACTCACCTTTCCTTACAAAGGAATTCTTCTTTTTATGTACTTTTTGATTCCATGGGTAATAATATAATGAAGAAAATCATTACAAATATACCCTAATCTCCTTAGAACTTCACACTCAATCCTTATATGGGTTACATAGCTATCCTTTATTATCAATGTGCTGTGTCTTTCCGGATGATCACCAAAGTACTTATATGTCTGTGTTCTCTTAGGAAAAGTACTGTTTAGAGTAAAATGGTTTTTGTTCCTTTTAGCATATATTTAAATGTCAATATGTACTTGCTTTTCCACTTCACTACATGCCTTGTAATTTTTCTCATGTCGGTACCTCATCATCTTTTTCACTGCTCAGTAATTCAAATGTGACTCAACCACAGAGTTTTTAGGCACCCTTCTACTGGGGAATTAAGCCTGTGGCACATGATTGGGCTTTTGAAAGTCACTGCTCACCTCCCAGTACCAAATCCTACAGTCTGTTCTCTTCGGCCTCCTCAGTCGCATTATAGCCCCTAGTTGCGTTGACCTGGCCTCCCCTAGCCATCTTTTCAGCCTTAGAGTCTGCAAAGCTGTGCTCTCCTGGAATTCCTGCTTCTTCCAGGAAGGATCCTCCTTCCCCTCCTTGTCCTTCTCAAGTCCTTTTTCTTCCTCTCTAAAGGCGACAGTCCCCTGAGGACCTATGTTCAGTTTGTTTGGGGTTTTTTTGTTTGTTTTTTTGTTTTTCTTGTTCCTCAGCAACCCCTACTTGAGCTATCATCTTCTCAAACAGCTTCCAGCTTGCTTCTTGGCCCTAGTCTCTCTTCTGAGCTTCACTCCTAAAATGCCAGTGCTCATTCCGTGTTTCCACCCGGATGTTTCCCTGCAGAGCTTTTCAAGGTTTTGGCAGGGAACTCTCTCAGGAAGAACTGTCTTTTTTGGAAACACAGGGTATAAAAATAGAGTGTGCACTCTCCTCTGCCCCAAGATCTGCCCTCCCAGCCTCCTCTGTTACACAGTGAGATTCTACCCATAGTGCCCCGAGGGTGGAGCACACAGAAGCACTATCTATAGAAAAATTAAAAATAGTAATAAGACCAACCAAAAGTCATCCTGATTTTTTACCATCGCCATATGCCAGCAATTCTAAACAGTCAGTGATGAACTGCTTCTCCCTGAAGAAAATCTTTTGTTAGTATAAATTCCAAACAATTGCTGAGGTTACTGTTGAGGATCAAATTCGTTGTCATGAAAGCTTCAAGTTAGCACATGTTTATTACTTATCCTTTCATTGAACATGTATTGCAAGGTAGGCTGAAACTAAGAATGTCCAGGTACACAGCTGGCCCCACAAGGTGGACTCCGGGACACACGTTCAGGGTAACTTCCTGCGTGGAGGCTTCCTGACTCAGTGTGGGTGTAGTTTGATCCTCAGGCTTGCAGAACTTCATACACGTGCTTTTCCCAGTATGTGCAGAATAAACCCTGATTGCATGATGGTGGAAAAGATGAAGAAACATAACTTGAGGGTTTTTTAAAATTTTGTCACTTCATGTGACCATTTGTGATTTTTATTTGTGTTCAAAGTTTAAAACAGTGAAATAGGGTACAAACTGGAACATGTAATGTTTTTGTTTGGTAAATGCAAATTTCAATTCCTACATGAAATTTTTTACTGAATGTGGTTATAATTGTATCTTTAAAATGAAATTTTATTCCTTTATATTGCTGATTTTTTTAAGCTTCAGAACAAAATCAAGAAGATAATCATCACAAGACTGTTACTGAAATAATTTTGCCACATAGCAGAGAGCTATGTTAAACGTTCTGCTGGGAGGATTGTACAGCCAGATGCAGCACCACTTTTTTTCTCACCGAATTTAGAAATAGTATACTCTCCTTCTAGACCTCTCAGTTATTGCATTGAATGGATTGACACAACCTAACTGTAATTTGGGCTAGAATTAAATAGTGTCAGTTCCCTTTCTACCCTCTTGCTCTAGAAAAGCAAGCTCTAAAAACTATGACAAATGCAGGCATCTTTCAGCTCTTCTGTTACAACCTTCCACCCTTGCCCTGCCTTTCCATTTTCCCTGCCTTTCCTAGTTTTAGGTTCTTATCAAATCAATTTATGCTTCCTGCTGCTTTCCCCCCCTTTCTTTCACTCTCTCCTTCAAAGCGTCTTCACATCCCGCACCTAAGTTCTCTTCCTAAAGGTGTACCAGGTCTCGCTTGAATCACCAACCGGAATTGATTCCCCAGCCTTGATTGACTTTCCAGTGCCCCTTAGAGGTTCCAGCCACTCCGCCCACCCTACTTCCCTTTCTGTTTCATCCTCCTCTGGACAGACTTTCTGCTCCACTGCAGAGTATTCTTTAGAGAAAAGATTCTTCTGATTTTATGAATTCTAATGACTGTATAACTTCTGAGCCATAATTTTTGGATCTGTAAAATGGAGATAGTAATAGTACCCTTACTTCATATAAAAACTGTCTACCAACCCGAAGTAGCTGCTAAATAAATGTTAGCTGTTAGAATTATTGCCATCTGAGCCCATAGCAAATACTCAATGAACTTGTTGATCACCTATTAGAGTAGTAGGAATTTGAGAAGTTTCATATGACCAATTCACTAGAACCTAAGTAATTACTCAACTTCTAATACAAGAGGGAACTTCACAGAGATTACTTCCTCTCTAGGAGATACTGCAAATCTGGTGTGTTCCTCACAGTCTTCTCCCCTCAGGCATGGAGACAGCCTAAAATGAGAGGCTGGAGTGGAGCAAGATAGTCTGGTAGATTTGAGATAAACAATGTCCTGAATCCTTTACTCACCTTAGGAAAATCTCTCCATCCTTCTGTTGACTTATTTGTAAACAAGAATAATGTTATCTACATTGTGGGATGTGATGAAGATTCATTTAGCTAGTAGCTAGGAAAGCACTAGGTACAGAGGAAGGTGCACAATGAGCACTATGGAAGTACTTGTTACAGAAGTTCAAAAATGAAGAAGACTCTGACATGTCTCTTTGCAGACTGCTGAACATGCATGTTTGGAGTTAGATGCATCCTAAGACTTGCTCTGTCCCAGAGAGTTACTGATGCTAGTACTGCCCAGCTGTGCCCTGAATAACCTATTGTTATCTGTGACTCCGCCTGGTTTGCTGGCAGAGTTTCCTGAGAAAGTTACACAAACCCCCTCCAAAGAGGCCCTTCTGCCATCTGGGAAGCAGACATGTTTCCCAGTGAGATCCAGCAGGGTATAAAATGTTAACACCTGACAGCAGGAATAATCCCTCTGACCTCTAACAACACAATGCTTTCTTCCAAAGGCCCTCAGCCAAGACGTGACTTCCCAGCTCAAGCCCTGCATTACTTTTCATCACGTTGCTGCAGCTTTCAATACAAAAAAGCAGATCTGGGACGAAGAGCACGCCTTACTTTCCTCTTTCCCATAACACTGAATTATAGGCTTTCTACAGTTTGAATTACTCCCTGTGTTTCCAAGGTTCAGTTCCTAGTTAAATTTGTTCCTCAGAAATCTGATTCAGATCATTTCTGTGTTTTCTTATGTGCTCAAATTAATGAAAGCTGTAGCTGAGTATGTTTCTTCTTCATAATGCTTATAAAACATGATGGGAGCCAGGTAGTAAACTGGAGGGAAACGGTGTGGCTCTCACCCATAAATCTCAGCTCTGTGGAGCCCATGAAAATGAAGGTGCTCCTTATGTGGTGTGTGCCTCGCCTCTTTGATGTGGGTTTTCCTCCATCCCCATCAATCAGCGATAGGTCGGTAAATAGATTCATCAGCCATGTATATAATGTTCTATACAGATTCCCTTGCTTATAGTTTTTTTTTAAATCACATTGTCCATTATAAATTATTTTAAACAGAGCTTGCTTGGCTCAGATATAGAGGAAGTCATGCTTTGCCTCCTTGATTTGCTGCTGACAAAACAAAAGGGCCACCAGAGGCTGTGTGAGAGCTTTGTCTTTTGAAGCAGAGTGGCTGCATGATGGAGATGCCCGACGTGGGGACTACAACAGTCCTGTCCCTGTTGAGGGAAAGAAGATGTGAGCAAGCTGGCTCATTTCCATTTTATTTATTTATGTATCTAGGACAGGTTTGTTTAGAAACGCAACAAAAGATTATTCAGGCTGTTTTGTTTGGTTCTGTTTTTCAGATCAATGTTAATGACAGCCTGTGACCTTGGAGCCGTGACCAAACCGTGGGAGATCTCGAGACAGGCAAGTGGTGATTAATGGCAGAGCTCAGCAGAGGAAGGAGTGGGGGCGGGGTATTCCCAGAGCCCTGACAGCCAGGCGCTGAAACCCTCCTCAATTTGCATCAGTATTAACGTGGAGTAAAAGAACAACGCCAGGCGCACAGCCCGTAGCTTATCGCAAGGTCTTTTCTTCATTGAGCTTCCACTGAGCAGTAATATTTCTCACACTAAGATTTTTGTAATGTGCGAAATCTGAATAATGTTTTGATCATTTTTTAAGGCAAGCATTTCAAAGGCAGTGTTTTTGAGTACTTAATTATGTCTTAGCACAAGTTCCTGCTTTTCACACCTGAAAAAAATAAAAGGAAATTCTATCTTTTCATTACAAGTACAGCATAGATATCAGAGAGCTCTTTGACCAAAATGTTCAGTCTTCAATTTGGTTTAAATTCCAAAATGAATACCTTTTATGCCTGTGTGTGTTACTGCCCCCAAACATTAGTTTATAGCAACAATAGTTTTCAATGAAGTAATTACCTAATTCAAGATCCTTGATTACTGGTAGTTTTCAGAAATTAATAGCTCTAAATTTTCTCTCCTTTATTTTTGAGAAGTCTCACTATGATATGCAGGTCAGTCTTAAATTCCTGGGTCCCAGGATCCTCCTATCTCAGTCTCTGGAGAACTGTGACTAGCTCTATAGGCTAACTCTTTAAGTTTCATGAGGTATCTACTCATATGGAGTGTGAGTTTCGAAACAAGAAGTTGGTATCTTAATTCTTGGCGTTTGAGGAAAAATGCGATATGTTCATATGTCAATATGTGCTTTATGTATATTATGCTTTGTGCTTTGTGTATATTCACTTGTGTTTTGTGTTTATTATTTCATTTGATCCTTTATAAAATAAATAAATAAACCTCTGAAGTAGGTACAGCTACTACAGTACACTGAAGAACGACCATGCAAAAATATCCTAATTCCTGAATCTTATAACATTACCCTAGGAGGGAAGGGTATTTTTGCAAGTATGATTAAAGCAGGGGGATAGTGATCTAACAGATTATCTTAAATTATCCTCATGGGTCCTAAATTCAATCACTACTGTCCCGAAAAGAGAGGATGGAAGGGTCACACATTCAGAAGAAGAGAAGGCAAAGTGAAATCAAGGCTGAGATTGCCCTGATATGGCCGTGAGATAAGGAATACTAACAGCTGTCAGAAACTGCAAGAGGCAAGGAACACAGAGAGCACACAACTGCACGAATACCATGGTATCTGCCTGGGGACTGATGTAGAATTCCTGGCCCCAGAATCATGATAGAATACATTCCTATTAGGGACAGGGATTTTGCTCAGTGGCGTAAGCACCTGCCTGGCAATCGTGAGGTCATGAGTTTGATCCCTGGCACCAAAAAAAAAGGGGGGAGGGGGAGACTTAAAAAGGATAAGTACCCTGAAGTCCTCCAGGTAATAGGTGGTGGAGCTCAGAATAAATCTTAGCTGATTAGCTGCCTAGCCTCCATTCTTAATGTTTTATGCTTTCCTACATAGGATGCAATGATCAGTATTTTTAAATGATGTAAATGTATCTACAGAATAGACTATGATAACACGAAACCCAAGACCTCAGTGGTTTAAAACAGCATATTAATAGCTCATGAATCTAGGGGTGCATCTAGGGGTGGCAGGCACAGCTTTGCCTCTATCTGGATCATTCTGACAGAGGCCAGGGAGAGTCTTGCACTGGCAATTCAATGCCCCCTTCAACCACTGATTGCTCTGAACTGGCCACATGACCCCACTCAATGGAAGTACTGAGTGATCCTTACATGCACCCAGCAAGCAGAAATCTAGAGACAGTGATGAAAGTATCACTGCCACAATTTGCCATTCTAATCACCAAACCTGTTCTCCATGACCCTTGCAGACAAAATATACTCATCCTCTATCTAAAGAAGATAACCTCAAATGTTTCATTAGTCATGGCATCAAACTCAAAACCCAGAATATCTAGATGCTCTATGCCCATTTGTATAACAGTTCTGGATATAAATTAAAGACCTGCACATAACAATAATAGTGACTCACCCCACCCAAAACACAAAGTACCCATTATAGCACTCTCACTCAGAGGGGAGAGATGAACGACATTTGGTAGGTAGTGGTCCACAGTAATTCTTAAATCTCACTGGCATTACCAGGAGGGTCCTTCACACTGTAGTGGGCATGATTCCCTGGGAGGTGCTTCCTAGTTCATTATTTCCTGAGGCCTTTAGATCCTCCCTGGGAAGTTACTCCTTTACTGTGATCCTCCTTGGTATTATCTGAAGGTCAAGCAGCTTCCTTAGACTGCTGCTCACCCAAAGAAGGCTGAGGGGCCAAGGCTTACTTTACATAGTCACAACCTGGTGGTTTCTTTAGTTTTAAAGTTCTCTTAAGTGTCATTCAGCTCTCTCTGCCTTCAATTCTATTCCTTTCCATTTGCCAATAACTAGAGCCATGTTTCTCTTTTATACAAACACGTTAGATTGTCTGTTTTTCTTTACTTCCTTATATTCAAGAATAAATACAGTAAGCATCTTTCTTTCTCTCTTTATTTTGCATGACTTACTTCTTAATATCATGGTTCTCACAGGCTTCTGAAAGAAAATCATGTCATTAAATTATTTCTTTGAATAATTTTTGTCCAGTTAAAAAAGTTTCTGTGCATCGCCAAATTATTTCATAGTTTTTAACTATGGGTGTGTGGCCATACCCTTAATTGTATTCTTATTCAAGGCTAACTTTGACTCTTACCATTTAAAACATACTTCAATTTTAATTTTTATGGTTTATAGTTCAGATGCAGCTTCATCTTCCACATCTGCAATACTCAGAATTTTTCTGTTCTTTTTCATTCCTACTTATAAATCTGCTGATCCTTTGTAAAGATCAACTGTAGTAAGGTCTGTGGAAACAGTCAATCATGGCATACTTTGAATATTTGTTTTGCAATCCCTTTCCTAAGGCCATAAGTTCATTAAGAGCAGTACTAGCTTTGTTTCAATGATAATTTAAAAATTATTTAACAAAGTTTGCATCCTAATCTGATATTGGCCCTCAAACTAATGCTGCATATTTTAGGGCCTTTTTCTTTCTTTTCTTTTTTAAAACATAAACAGCACCTCGCTTCCATACCAGTGTTTTAATTAGTCAGGGTTGGGCTCAGCTTTGCTGTTTAACAAATACATTCTGAAATTTCAGTTGCTTAACCCCAGAGGTTTATTTCTTGCTTACCTCACAGTCTAATTCAATCAGGCAATTTTCTTATAATGCTCTTCACCACATGAATGCTGATTTCATTTTCAGTAGAACATATTTGAAGTCACCAGAAGTCACATAAAGTAGAGTAACTGTGAAGAAGTCATGTGGTTCAGTGGTGTCTTTCAACATCTGTGCCCACCACGTGCAGAGGTAGAGTTTGAAAATGCACTACAGGGAAGAGGTGGGCAGCTCTTCCCCACATTAGGAAAAGTGTAGTCCTGGGGTGGCTGCTAGGACAGGGATGGAAGGAGAAGGAAGTCAGGAGAGCTGGAAGAAAATGGAGAGACTAAGAAAGGAGTGGTGCACGCCTTAGAACCCTCAGTAAAGGAGCACATTAGGAGCTAAAGGTGCAGGCGTTCACTTGGAAAGAACACACTTTCCCCATTGATATTTTAGGTCGACTTGGGAGGGCCCGTGGTCAGGTGTAGGTGGTCTTCTCAGCCACAAGTATAAACATTATTATTTTTGTTAGGGTGTGAAATTGTGCTGATAAGTGCAGAAACATAAAAGCTCAGAGAAATAAAACATGAAGACATGTTTTTGCAAGTGCTTCCATCAGAAATCTGGTCATAGGGCTAAGCTGGAAATCTCACTCATGCTTGTCTCCAAATGGAATGGTTTATTTTTAAAGTTATACTCACTTTTTAGTTTTAAAAGCATTTGACACAAATGAGAGAATCCTCTTTTAAAAATCTAAATGTATTTCTAACTTTCTGGATGTTGACTTTTAAATTCCTTCTCAAAAATGTTTCTTTTTCTGGGGTTAATTCCACTTATTCTTTCTCACAAGCATGACTCTAAGCATGTGTGGGTTTCCCCAGTGATCTCCCAAGGCCTGATTAGCATCTCAATTTCCTTCTTTAAAAAAAAATTCAATCAGGAACCACTTAATGTTCCTGATTGAGTTTTTAAGTACAAACAAAACAGTGGTACAAATTAAGCTGTGAAAAAGCACAGGGGAGGTACCCAGTACTGTTATAGAAAGAGTAAGGACAGATTTTGTTTTAATGTCTTCGCTTTCCAGGGACTACAGACCTATGCAGGACTCCTACCTTGGGGCCCTGATGTGCACAGTTACATTCCTTAATGTAAAAGACTCAGCTTCAGAGCAAGCTGAGAGAGAGTTTGGGAACCGAATTAATGAGACTATACCCTAAGGGGACCATGGCTTCTTTAAAGGCCAGGCCAGAGAAAAAAGAGAGGCCAGGCTCCTGAAAGGAAAGGCAGTGGCAGAGGCTCCTATGATGAGAGAGTGAGAGACGAGGGCAGTTGTTTGAGTCACTTCCAAATACTTTTAAGCAGTGGAATTCTTGATGGGGATCCAAGTTTGTCAGAAATATGAACTTAGTGGCCGCACAATTTCTTTATAAATGGCTACATACTTGCTTCTCTCAGATTCGTGGATGCGTATGTAAGTTTGATGTTGCGTTTAAATTTTTTTATGACCTGTTTCTTAAGAAACACCAGGCAAATGATCTTGATTACAGGAACTTGACCAAACAAACCCATTTCACCTTTGCTGGATGTAAGAACCTGATATTTACAAGAATGTGGAATGGAGAAAAACTAGTTTGAGTAGCCAGATCTTCTTGCCATCAATTGTCTAAAAAATTTTTTTCTACTCTTTCAGTATGTTATAAATCCAGCTAGTTCATTCACAAATTTTTCTAGATGCACCCCATAGTGTTGTTGAAAATACCTGTTCAGCATGCATCTGTCACATCAGTGTGTTTTCCACAAACTACCTTGAGAGGCTGAGACTGAAGGAAGAGACAATAATCTCTGACTTGGCTGCTGATCGCTAATTTCACTAATACTTGAAAGATAGGAATGTACTTGTTTCTGTGGTCTAAGCAATTTTATTATGCTTAGAGTAGTGACAGCCCACTGTAAATTAACACTTTGAATACATAGACTGAGCCAGGCCAAGGCTAGGTTCTTCGAACTGTAATTCATGACACAGTCTGGAATGAGCAAGGAGGCCGGCATTAGTACTATCTCTTGGTTACAGTAAGAAGCAGAGAGCAGGATATTCACAGAGAATGTAAACTTCCTAAGAACAAAAGGAGTTTGTTCCAGAAAGGGAGTTCCAGAGTGTTTGCAGTGGCATCTAAAAATACATTGCATAACTCTCCTCATTAAAAGGAAATCCATTTCATTGATTAAATTCTGTAATAGCATTAAACACAAAAGGTTAATGTACTTCCTCATAAGCTTTTTAAATGTTGTGTTGAAGATAATCACCATGCCCATAAACTAGAACTATTTCTGAGTCTTGTGGTAAGTTGCACATAAATTAACGTACTCACGTGTTTCAGGTGGCTGAACTGGTGACCAGTGAGTTCTTTGAACAAGGAGATCGGGAGAGAGCGGAACTCAAACTCACCCCTTCAGTAAGTTCATCCTGTCATTACTAGGAATTTCTCTTTTGAACAACATTTTTTAAAAAATAACTCAAAGTCACAACTTGAAAATGGAGAAGACTGACAATGGATTTAAACAAGAGCTCCTAAAAGTTTAAGACTTTAATTAAACCTAAATGCTAATGCACTCATTCCCAGGTTTCCGATTAAGAATGGTAAGCTGCTTAACAAGCACTTCCTGAGCACCCACCATGGGACAAGCAGGCACAAGGGAGAACATGCCAAGTGCAATCAGAACAGTTCGCAGCTCAGCACCAGCCTTCCGCATACACCTATTTTGGATTAGAAATATGACAAGAATTTAAAAGCAAGCTATGCAGCCCTGAAGAGCTGGTGTTTATTTCCAGTTTCAGACTCACAAAGACCCTCAAAAGCAAATCATTTCAAGCCTGTTTCCTTGTTTGTGAAGTGGAAAGTTTCACCTGGGGAACTAGGCTCTGCCCACTGTAATGCTATTTATGTTGGACTCACACATTCAATTATTATTTGAGAATGCTTGTGTTAGACTTAGGACACCATTGAAGACTTCAATGCTTCGGACAGTACCCTCAGGGAGGAGGCAGCCTCTTTATTCTCGGTGAATGATTAGCTAAAAGTCTGAGAGTGGGGCAAAGTATTTTAAAGCCTGTTAGTGCTTAGCACAGCACTGTAGGTTCAATGAAGCTCAAGGAATGTGTCCGTTATCTGTTTTGGAGGATTCAAGTCAACCAAGTCTTGAACATTTGGAGGTATTTGTAAAATCTTTGCATTTTAAGACACCCTTCCTTGTTGTTATTTAAAAGCAAAGGAAAGCAACGGAACTTCCTAGCCTGATTGTTTTAAAGTCACAACTCTCAATCCTACTCATTTTGACTATTCTTAAGCAGTTGCTTACTTGCAAAAGGTACAAAGACTATATCGATTGAACCACACATTAATTATTTTAGTTTTCAAAGCAACATCTATTCATATAGTGTTCATAACATCCTTTATGCTTTTTTTGATGCTGTCAACCAAAATTGTCTCTAAACATAAAGATACTAGATTATGATACATGCAGTTCATAAGTAAAACCTAGGACAACCCAGATTTCTCCTAGTTACATATCTACTTTTTTTTTTTTTTTTCACAAAATGCTTTTCCTTCCTTTTAAAAAGTGTTTCAGAGGCATACCCTGGAGGGCGCACAATGCAGCCATACCACAGGTCATTTAATTAAATGAAAAAATAAGCATAACTGGCCAGGGTTGGTGAGCAGGCGGGTACAATGGTGAGGTGCTAAAAAACTTTTATCAGTAAATTCAGGTAAAGCATTTTCTTAAGATGTAAATTAAATTAATTTGCAGTGGAAACATAGCTTTAAATGCCATTCTTTCTTCATAAAAGGCTACTGAAGATAGTTGATTACCTGCTGTAAGAGGCAGAATATACCTTCTCTGTCCTTTTCCAGAAAGGCTTGGCAGGGCAGGCAACTAGAACTGTGTCTGCTACCCTTTATTTTTAGAAGGAACATTTTCCTAAAGCCCCAACAGAAGCTATGACCCTGGAAGTCAAAGGCTAATCTGGACCACAGACAAAGAGTTAATACCACAAGCAGTAAGTCAGTAAAATATGATTACACATCCCTGCACAGCAAGTGTGAAGTAGACAGTGTATTCGGAAATGAGCAACATTGTATTTTCCCTACCCTATAGGACTGCCTCAGCTGGTGGAAAATGTAGACTAAGTAAATAATGACTAATATGCGATTATAAGATGCAAAATGTTGTAAATGAAAAGCACAGGACAGTGTGATACCTCACATCTACTTTTCTCTCACCAAACATTGATTAAGAAGTTCAGAAATAAACCCTTAAAATTATGGTGGAGGATTTCAACATGAGTGTCAAGACAGCAGAGTGAGGGAAACTACTTAAATGGTTCAGAAACAGCAGGATATTTACAAGCAAAAAGAATGAGGTTGGTGCCCTGCCTCTTACTGTACCCTAAAATAAACTCAAATTGGATCACAGACTTAAGTGTAACATCTAAAACAATAGAACTCTTCAAAGAAAATATAGATAAAACTTTCTGTGCTTGCTTTATTCCATTATGTCTTAGATATTATACCAAGACCCAAAAGATAAAATGGCCCAGAGATATTGCCCCCGAGGTGTTAAATTGGACTTCATCAAAAATCAAATTGGACTTTATCAAAATTAAAGCAATTGAAAGAACAGTCTACAGAATAAGAGGATTTGTTTATAAACTATGTACCTGAAATGGGTCTGGTATTTAGAATCTATAAAAAAGAATTATTATAATTCAACTCAGTTTAAAAAGTGGGCAAAAGACCTGGATAGACACATTTTCAAAGATAATATGTAAATGGCCAATAAGCTTGTGAGAGATTCTCAGAATCATTAGCTATCACAAAACTGCAAATTAAAATCACAGTGCAGTACCACTTCCAACCCCCTAAAGAAGTTATCATCAAAAAGACAGACAATAGCAAGTGTTGGTGAGGTTGTAGAGAAACTGAGCTTCATACATTGTTGATAGAAATGTAAAATTGTGTAGCAGCTTTAAAAAACAGTTTGGCAGTTCCTTAAAAAATTAAACATAGAACTTCCATATGACATAAGAATCCCACTTCTAAGAATATCCCAAAAGAAATAAAAATGCATGCACACAAAAATGTTTACATGAACATTAATAGCAGCCATTTTCATGATAGACAAAAACAACTCAAATCCCCATCAACTGATGAATGAAATACAGCATATCTATACAATGATGAAATATCGTTTGCAAAAAATAATAATAATAAAGTGCTGATATATGCTACACAGACAAACCTTGAAAACATACTAAGTGAAAGAAGCCAGTCACAAAAATAAGTGTGTCGTGTGATTCCATTTATATGACATGTACGGAACAGGCAAATCCACGTAGAGAAAAAGTAAATTAGTGCTTGTCTAAGGCTGGGAGTCCGGGAGAAAATGGAGAGTTACTGCTAATGGTACGGATTTCTTGAGGGGAGCAATAAACATGTTCTAAAACTGATTATAATGATAAGTGTACAATTCTGTGACTATACTAAGAGCCAGTGAATTAAAAAGGAATTTGTATATAGTATCTACCAGAAATTAAGTAATTCAGAAAGAGCTATAGACAAAATAAAACAAAATGCTATGACTTGGATTTGGTTTAAATGTGTCTTCCAGGGTCTTAGGAACTGCAATTTAATCTCCATAATTCTGCATTAAGAAGGTGAGCATTTCACAGGACAAGACAAGGAGCAGAGGCTGCAGGAGTCAGTGACCTTACCCCAAGTTTAGAAAAATTTTCTTCAGGTGTGGCAGCTCCTGATTTCTATCCCAAATACTCCCTCTGTGGTTGCTAAGTCTGAAGAATGCAGGCATTTCCAACCTCTGGTTGGTCAAAGGGATAGTTGGACCTTCCCTCGTGATGAAATACAGTGCCAAAATGCTGTGGATGCCACATCTGATTTAGTGGCAAGACACAGCCTACTCTAAGATAACAAGGCAATGCAAGGCATAAGCAGGTACTTCGTTCTTCCAGATCGACATTGTAGTTTCTCAGGCTCTGCCTCATTCTGTGAGTACACAGGAAGGGACATTCTCACTGCAGTGGAATTGGCTGCATTTTTTTAAGCACTCTATGTTGACCTTCTAATTCCAACTGTTTTCTCTGTCGAGCCTGTCCAACAGAAATCTGTCACTTCTTTTTCTCAAAAATATACCTAAATTATATCAAACATAACATCATAAAGTTTAAAGACCGAGAGTGAAGAATGGGTGTCCCCTACCATCATCCACCCAATGACAGGTAAATACTTGGGAATTTATGAATAACAGACTCTTCTTGGAAAATACACACAATCGCCAAACTAACATCTCACCCTAAAACTTAGTAACATGGTTTCTATTTCAAATTTAAAACTTAGGGATTTTTCCCAGTCTAAATTATTCTGTATTATTCTGTATTATTTTGTGGTAATAAAATATGCTCTCTTCCCCTTGACTTGTGCCCAATTTCCAGTGACCTGATGACTTGATTTACTTAGCACTTAACCTAAAGACAGATTTTGGCCCCAAAGTGTTGTGTTCTATAAGTTCAAGTAAATTCACTTATAAATCTCCTATAAATGGAAATACTTTATTTCTCATCTTAGATAAAAAGAAAAGAAAGTATGTGCAAAGATTGATTATGATTTGTGGAGTGTTCACTTGGTAAGAATTGGACCACTGTGGCAAAGTATCTGAAGAGCGCCTGTAAAATACTCCAGGATATTACAGCAAGGTTGTCCTTCTGCTCCCTAGGCTATTTTTGATCGGAACCGGAAAGATGAACTACCTCGGTTGCAGTTGGAGTGGATTGACAGCATCTGCATGCCTTTGTATCAGGTAATTGTTTATGAGGACGGTCTGTAGGTCCTGACTGAGCCAAAAAAGGAACAGTGTGTGTAAGGCACTTTCAGAAGCATTCATTTTAGGAGATCTAGAGAGCATATGTTGCTGAGACCTTGCTGCATTTTGTCTTCCTCAGAGTTCTGACCCAAGTTGTAAACTAGAGACCTGAGTTCTCTACCACTGCCTACGACAACATAATCTCCATGGGCCTCATCTTCCTCATATGCAAACCAGGAAAAATGTCATCTCAGTACTTCCCAAACTGTGCCCTGTGGTACACAAGTATAGTCTAATACTCTGTCTCTTCAAAAAACAGATCTCAGGCCCAACAATTAAGATATTTAGAATATTAAAATTTTGAAAGTTCAAAGAAGTCATGCAGAAAAGAAATTTACTTAGCCATTACTCCGACCACAAAAACCTTTTTAAAATGTTTAGTTTTTGTTGTTGTTGTTGTTAATATTGTGTGAGACACGAGGGCTCTACGAAGCATCATGTCTATTCTGACCCCATGGTCTGGACCAGCGGGCTTATGTGAAGCACTGTCCATGTGCAGACTTTGCCTCTCTGAGATGTGCACAGCACTATTTGACCGCTGAATTCTGAGCAAGGTGTGCTAATGATTTCTACCTCTGTTACCTGGTGCACAGAACCTGCTCCCAGAAAGGAGTGTCAGCTTTGAATGGTTCACACTCAACTTTTTGAGTACAGATTAGAGCTGGCATAACAGTTTAGTGTACATTGGCTTTTAATTCTACTTCTAAGCATTTGCTTTCATTTGTAAAACCTGGTGAGTTCCTTACCCCCGACCTAGCTCAATCAGACTAAGCTGCTTTTCTAACTTCAAAGGGAGAAACATGTAGAGAAAACAAAATCTCTTTAGCTTCTCACTCTGTGTAACTCCATTAAGGGCACAATATTGTTTTTTAAGGACCTCACAACCATTAAATTTCAACTTAACTTATTTACCACTTCATTTTCAGTACTTTTAAGAACCCGCTGAGCCCTGTCACGGTACCCTGAAAACAAGCAAGCAAATTAGAATATTGTCTTTCAGATGGAAATGTAATTTTTAGCAGCCATAAATAACAAAAGTAAATTCATTTTTTGTTTTATATGATCCATTAAATTTGTGATACATAAAATCAGCCAAATACAGCTTTTAAATCATCTAAAATAAGTTTAGTTATAAATGATCATAATGTTCCTTCATTTAATAATGAAATATGAACAAAAAATCAAGAATGATGCACGCTTTTTTATAAGGGGATCATCAACTCTCTTCTTCCTGTTTACTCCTCCCACCCTTAATGTTGCTAAATAATCCAGGCCCCATGTGGAAAGCCCACAACTGTGGGGTCAGGTATCTCTTGCTCTGCTAAATTGACCTTGACTACCCACACTGGGCTATTTTTCAATGTTAGTCAGCTTCCTGTGCACACTTAGGCAATAATTGGGATTAGTAAATTATTATTGGGGGGGTACCGGGAGTTGAACTCAGGACCTCACACTTGCCAGGCAGACTCTGTGCCACTGAGCTATATCCCCAGCTCAAATAAATTATTCTTGCACTAACTTCTTTTACTGAAAGTAGAGCGTAGGAGTATAAAGACTTGTGTTTGTGGGGCTGTGTTTGATATGGGATACTAGTTTGCAAAAGCCCTGTGATGTGACAAGTCACTCTTCTTAGTGACTTGTTTTTTGGTTTTTGTTTTGTTTTGTTTTTTGGTGCCGAGGATTGAACTCATGACCTCACACTTGCCTGGCAGGCGTGTAAGCCACTGAGCTAAATCCCAGCCCTGTGACTTGTTATAGTAAATGCCAGAAAAGGTCCTTGGAAACTTTGAACAAATACTGATTTGTTTCATTACTGACTCCTGATTATTTAAGTTTATCGTACATTTCCTATTAAATGCTGTGAAACCATCAGTTTGAAAAGGAAGTTATTTTAACTTAAACTGAAAAGTAACAGTGTTGAGGATTTAGGGAGTAATAGTACCATGCCATATTACATTATCAGCCTGATTTTTAGTGTTGTACTTTACTACTCATCTGTGAGATTTAGTATATCTGCAGTTTTCATCATGGAAAAAGGCTAAGACAAGTGATGCTCCTACCAAATTCGAGTTGTGTCCTGCTCATCTTGACCTTGGTTTTGGTGTTGTAGTCTTTCAACTGCTCCACGCCACTTCTGGTGGGGACTTCTCCCACCATTTTTTCTCCTGGGGGAGAAACATGTCATCCTAAAGGAAACCACATAAAGTGCTGTTTGCACAGGCTCATATTCTTAACTGCTGCTGGTATCTTCCCATTTAACAAAGAGTGAAACCTTGCCTTTTTAAAATTTCTAATCACCATTGAATTTTTAATTTTACAATTTCATTTGTAAATTCTTTGCAAGAGTTTGAAATCACCATTTGAAAGAGCACTCAAATGAAACTGTGACACAAGTTTAAATCATCTCTTTGAGGCTCCCTAACTTGTTCCACCTCACACTGTGGGTTTCCCCCCCCACACACACACACACCACCTATTTAATCAGATAATCTTCCATCAATTGTTGATGCTCCAGCACTGAAATGGGATCAGTCACTGGGAAGAATCACCAATAATTGGAAGATAACATAAGGAAATATCATAACAAGCAAGGAAAGCCACTGGCAGAATGCTAGTCACTAAAGCTGAGGCAATTCTGATTCTTGCTAAAAGGCCAGTTTGGGGTTTTGCTAAAGCAGTTTTGGGATTAATAAGGGATCTAAGAGTTTAGAAGGCAAATAGAAATATGCAGATGGCAGGAACCCCTGCTGTGATTATCTCTAGTCTGGAATACAGAGCATAAAAATCTCCTTTGGCTTTGCTAAACTGACCAGGACATAGGGCAAAAGGAAACATGTGAGACAAAGAATGTCCCCATTACTAATGAAACCCTGGACCTAAAGGCAGGAGCTCTGGATGGTGAAAAACCTCATGGTGGAGCCTACATAGGCAGATGATCATACAGAGTGTGTCATCCCTCCTGCAGGCCAAGCAGTATGGACAGAAACTGCAGTGCTGGAGGCTGCTCTGGGCCGGAGAGGTCAGAATAGGGAGCTGGGGCAGAGGAGGCCAGCCTACAGCCGGGAGTCGTCCTTGTCAAATATCCTAATAGATCATATACTTTCTCTTTAGGCTCCTGCTTGCTGACTTTTGTTCCTCCTTGAAGCAAGGGTCAAGTTGCTTCAAGGAGGAAGAAAGGGCCCCTTATTTGTATGCCTGCAAAGAAACACACACCAGTGTTTGGATAACCACTGATGTAAAACCACAGCTCCTATCTGTGGGATAGCCTCAGTTCACACTGTGGGAAGATGAGGAATTTCCTTTCTCTAATGCCCATTCATTGGGAAGTTACCAAAATAATCAAGTGATTGACTAAAAGCGACTGACCGAAAATACAGAATATGAAAACCTAAATGATGTGTAGGCCCTGTTTACTGGCATATTGAAAATACACTGATTGATTCCATTCCAGAGTGGAAAAAGAGGATGAGCACTTGAGGCATGCCTTTAGCTCTCCCAGCAGGCCATGTGGGGAGAACAGGAGCAGGGAATGTCCCAGCCCCGTGCATGGTCACAGCACAGGGAGATAGCACCTGTCTGCATACATATGCTTATGTGTGAATAAAAAGTCCCAGAACTTTCATGTCTTTTTAATCATATGGTTCCAAACTTTTCTTTAAAAAGAAAACGAAATGAAACAAACAACAACAAAACATAGGGTGGCCTGGAGATAAAGGAAAGAAGAAAGAAATACTCCTAACAGGCAGAAGTCATGATTTATCTGTGACAGCATTTTAATCAGGAAGCATGGAAAGCCAGGAGTGGGCAGGGAACCAGCCAAGTGTGTTCCCCAAGAGAAGCCTAAAGCCCTGGTTAGTTAGCTCTGTCCTAGCAGGGTATCTCCAAGGAATACATTGACATCTGATTCCTGTGCATTCTGCTGCCTTTGCACCCTGCTGGGGAGCCATTAGCCTGCTGCTCAACATCTTTAGAGGGGAAAAAAATAAAAAAGAAGAAGAAGAAGAAGCACAACATCAAACTTAGAAGTCGTTGCTGTAGCAGCCTTAGGGATAAACAGAAACCCTGATGTCACAGTATCATTCTGTGCTGCTCTTCCCAGGAAGGAGCCAAGTTCTGCTCCGTATTTTCATTCTCAGTTTAAACTTCCGTGTACCTAGAGTTTCAGTGATGCATAAAGGCATTATAAATCTTCTGTTTATTAAGGATTGAGGGCTCACTGTTTCTTATGAACATAATCAGATTTTTAGCTCATCCCAATCGGCTTGTAATTTTGAGATGGATTTTCTCAAAGATAAGGCAAAAGGCCTTGAGCTGGGCTGCATCTATAGGATAATTCTTTTTCTCCATTAAGAGAAATAAAATTTCTGAAGAGTAGTGTGGCTCAATAAAAATATCATGGGGCTCCAGCAATAAGCAGTGCTTCTGATGGTAAGATTATAATAGCTTTTCACTCTTCCTACCTCCGGTTGTAATGGTCATTTTGAAAAATACATTCCACCTGACATAGTCAGTCATTAATATGCTTTCTGAAAAAGCAAGGAAAAGTATCTCTAAAATATACTTGAAACGGTAAAGGCTCAGAGGTAGAAACTGACAAATTGGAAAAGAGGATATAAAGTGCTACCGTAGAACAATTTCTTTGGACACTGATAAAAGTGCTTTAGAAACAGCTCGGCATTCCCTATATGGCTTGTGGCTCCTGTCTAATTTAAAAAAAAAAAAAGGAGAGCAGTGGGGTGGGGGATACAGCTGCAAAGTATAGAGCAGAAAGATCATCTCTTCTGAAAAAGAATGAAATTGGGTAAAAAGAAAAACAACTTCATCAAACATTTTTTTAAAGAAAAAGTCATCACTCAAATTAGCTCCCTATAAATGTTTTCTCTAAGATGTTTATGTAGTATTCTTGTTGATGAGAGAGAATTTCTTACTTGTTTGTA